AGTGCCATTAGAGATTAAACTAAATATGTCATTTCTTGTGGTTCTTACAGTACCATTAGAGGTTAAACTTAATATGTCATTTCTTATGGTTCTTACAGTACCATTAGAGATTAAACTAAATATGTCATTTCTTGTGGTTCTTACAGTGCCGTTAGAGGTTAAACTAAATATGATTGCACCAACCAGTATTGTTGCCCTTTAATTTAGTTTCAAACTGCTGCATATGAATTAAAGTATGATTCTATATTATTCATAATTATATGGGAATGATTTCATAACGTTTTGAACTATTTTTTCAACGCGCATTTGCTAGTGCAACACAACATCCTCTTGCTAGTGCAAAACAGCATCCTCTGCTTCATTCTTGCTGTAATACGCTTAACAGCTAATTGTATCTCACGCAAGTTGGTATTCATGACTTTGTAAAAGTTTTACAATAAAATAGCTTGTCAGAAATCTGTACACTAGAAAAAGATCACCAGAATAATCACGATTATAACATGGAAAATCATTGAAAGTCAAGTAGAGCAGATATGTCAATTACTTTTTATATTATTGAAACATTTGATTTCTAACCCAATCATGTCCTTTGACTTATACCCAATATGTTAATGGCTTAGTTACGTTAAGATCCAGAACGTGTTGATACAACAATACACGAAACAACTACTCATAAAACGAGGAGCACAAAGCTCTTGGGTCGTTGAGTCGTTTTCTGGATTGATTTGTATAGAACTGTCTTGTTCAAAACGGATAATGTTAAAACGCAGTATCTGTATCAACTGGCATAAATCAACAAAGTTTTGGAAATGTATAGGTAGTTTGAAGGATTGCAAACCTGGTGGGGAAAGAAGTTTTATCAATCCTAGGAATATATATAGTTGGTACCTTCTCTGGTCAACATATTAACATTTTTAGCTGCCCTGATGCAGGAAACTTAGCTGATGCGTTGTTGCTGGACGAACACTCATCATGAGCGAATTCATTTCTGTTTGGCAGCAACACAAATATCAAACCAAAATATGTTGTATCATATAATAAAACATAACTGTTTGATAGCAACACAACCTTTCTCGTAGTGCAGGAATTGAACTGTATAAATAAATACTTTTCGTGTAGTCAATTATGGTTTTACTTTTATTCAAATTTCCCTGTACATTGGAATTAGAGGTGACACAAGTCAGTTCCTACAGCATTAGTTACCATTAAGCACATTAAAGTGCTGTAGAAATTACAAGGTTGTTTTTATTTTTCGCTTTGTATATTCAGCTTCGACGCCAACAAGTCAACGAAGGGTGCGTCCAAGCTGCGACGAGATCTCATTAACTCAGAGATCGCGAATCTGCGAGACTTGCTTCCTTTGCCGTCCTCCACTCGACAGAGACTGTCCCAGCTTCAGTTGATGGCTCTGGTCTGTGTCTACATGAGAAAAGCTAATTATTTCCAGCATGGTAGGAAGAAAATGATTATATCAGTAATTTACTCACGCAAATTGTTCTTAAGATGCATTTTTATATCTAGTAATATTACCTTATAACTGTCCTATTCTAACAATTCTTTGATACGTTTAACAATACATTTCTTCGGTCACTAATTAAGAAAACAACTTTATTCCATCCGCAAAATGTTATTTATCATTTCAATAATTGAATGTATAATTTTATTTGTAGCTATTACGCTTTCGGATATTAAAATATGTTTTTTTTTATATCTACAATTGTAATTGTTAGCATGTTTGTTTTTTCAACTTTCAGTACTGAGTGATACATAATTAAAATTGCTTGTATTGTTCTTACTCATTCTTTCATCAAATGACGCACGTGGAAATTCTGTGTGTGTGACGTACAATATAAATACGTACTCAGAACTCGTTTTTTTTTCTTTTCCCTATAATTAGATCACGTCTAAATAGTGCTTAATGTTTTTTTCTGTTAAAGCAGTAATCGATATATGGTTTCTAAATTTTAGATTTATTCTACAATTAAAACAATAAGTAAGTAAATATGTTGTATTTTCACTTATGGGGAGATAAAAATGAAAAGGGTTTAGTGTTAATTTTGTGTTTCTGCAACGGCTAAGGCAGCGCATATTAATGTCGTTTGTTTCTTACAATATATCGTCGATATCATGATAACATCGTTAACACTCTAGACCACAAAGTTCAGTTAGGACTGTTGAGCACATGTTGTGAGGATAAGAAACTGAAAGGTTAATGTTACAGTAGTTTTACAGTGAATCTAAGCGCGGTTCGGTAGAATATCATCAATTTGTAAACATAAAGTTTAACATCTATGTAATAACTTGTAAGTCATGATGTTTTTTCTATTAATGGTTAGATGGAACATGAGTGCACGTGTTCTAAGCGCTAAGATAGCTAGTTACAAAATTAACCAATTACTGGAAAATGACTTAATTAAGCAACACTGGTGTAATACATACTTGATAGTGGAGTGAATGAATACACGAAAATGTACGACAGACTCGGCATTTTCATAATATTCATTTTCTGAGATAAAAAGCTACAGATGTTTGTAAAGAATATAAAGTATTCAAGAAACTTTTGTCTCACAAAGATGTTTGTTTTTATTTAAACGCGACGCTGCATAATAAGCTATCTGAGCTGAGACCACCGTAGTTTTGTAGCCCCGATATTACAGATGCAAGAATATACATTAGAAATAATATTCTAATATTCACTTTGGTGGCGCACGTTGTTAATAATAGCGAAGAATCAAAACCACACAGATTATTTTAATCACACTTCAGAACTATAGTGTTATCATAGTTTTTTACGTTTGTTCTAGGTAAGAACATTTTGTATGTTGAATAGATCTAGAACTACTTGATATTGTTTTTATTAACAGGAAATTGAATGCGAAAGATCTGACACCCTTCATTCTACTTATTACGACAACAGTTTAAGTTCAATAGCAAAATTTAAAGCCAGCACTTATTTCCAAAAAATCAGTTAACTTAAATGAGGAAATATAAGTTGGAATTTTAGAAACTCTTAACATTAGACTTACAAAATATTAGGTAGTCAAGAAATTAATGTCGCGTTTTGGAACACTTTCATTAACCTCCCCCCAAAAAACGTACATCATGTATAATAGTTAAACGAACCGCCTAAACGTCACGTTAGGTGTAGCCTGAAAAAACGTACAATAGTTAAAGGAACCGCCTAAACGTCACGTTAGTGTAGCCTATATAATGTGTAAAATATAGTATACTCTAATCCCTTATAGTGATGGCACACGACGAGACACACATTCGTCGTGTAATGCTGTTTGAATACAAGAAGGTAAGCAACACCTCTGAAGCCACAAGGAATATCAAAGAAGTTTATGGAAATGTTTTGAACGTTCGTAAGTGTCAACAATGGTTCAGCAGGGGCCCACGTGTTGGAATTGATATTGATGCTCTGAAGACGCTTGTTGAGTCTAATTCAAGACAATACACTCGTAAAATGGCCCTGAAATTGCATGTCTCTAATAAAACAATACCTTAACATCTAAGGAATATGGGAAAACTCCATAAATAAGGTGTTTGGATGCCTCACGAATTCTCCTATGATCATCGTTTCCAATGTGTGAACGTTGCTTTGTCTCTTCTGGCGCGTAATGCGCGTGAACCATTTTTGGACAGAATTGTCACCGGTTATGAAAAATGGATTCTCTATGCGAATA